TACGTAAAAAGGACAACCGAAGATTGAGTGCTTGTTTCTGCGATGCTTGGTTCCAACTACCTAAAGATAAGTTTTAGGTTCAATGCATCGCTGAGTACGATATTCACTTTACGCGCACATTGGCTGTTTGCTCGTATTTTAGAAATATAAAATAAAGTTTTAAAATTGTAGTACTAATGTACTTTGTCTTTTATTATCGTTTGTTTTTCAGATATTAGAGGTACAATTTGTTGACTTTGCGATTTGCACACTTTTCATATTTCTTATTAAAAAAAGAAAAATTTGAATTAAATTTTACATAACATTATCTTAAAACTTATTAAATTTTTTTTCAGAATAATCTATTATTTCTTTAAATTCTATTCATAGACTTCTAGCATTTACCCAAAATGAACTCGGTATCTCATAATAGAGGTCTTTCCTTATATATTTTCCTATATATATTTCTTATATATTTGCTGGGAACATTTCGTATCGGGAACACACTTCGATCGAGAGACAAGAGGCTCGCCGAAGTAAAAATTCTAGCTTTTTTTACGCTGACTACACTTAATTACGTTTAAGAATAAGTTCAGCCGGAGTAATTAATTTTAGATTTCCGTAAAAGTTTAATCACATAAAGTTTTCGGAGGATATTCGGGAAATATCCCTTTAAGGGGCCGAGAGAAGCGACGAGTGAGTTTAAAGATATGGAGAAGTGGATGCCAGCACCTTAATCTTTTCCTCGAGAAAGTTTCTCTCGTTGCAAATCTCGCGAGCGCGAACGTGAACGCGCCTCAGCCGTTGTATCTCTCTCTTGCCCCTCCTCAGAGAATACCGGCGTGACATGTAAATCACGAGACATTCGATTTTTTAAACAGTAGATTACGTTCCAATTTAAATGAAAAGAATTTCACAGTGCGCAACGCGTGAATGAATCTGTCGCAATCGATAACCTCGCAAAAAAAAGTCCACTGTTCATCATTAATTATTCAGACACGAGAGATTTGTGTAAAAAGCGCGCGCGCACACAGAAAACGCGAGAAACAAGAGTTGCTGGCGGTAGTACTTGAAATTGAAAGATTGTACTGGCGGAATTCACATAATTTCGCCAGTTATACGGCAAACGCTTCGATATGGAAATGCCATATAGAAATCCGCGCGCGGAATAGATCGGTAGGCGGAAATAGATTCTTGCGTGTCCGGCCGTAGATTAAGCAAAACGAAGGGAAAAGTTTACGTCGCTCGTTGGTACGCTTGGAAATCAGGATCCTTTCGCGTGCGCTACACGGATGCTTCAAAGCAGCATCGTCGAAAAATCGCAACGACGTCGCAACATAAAGAAGGAAGTATGTCGTTTCGACTATTTTCAAAGTGACTTGGCTCATCCGGAATATGTATAGGTACTGCAGCTGAGGAAGAATGTTATGCCTTAAATCGGACAAGTGCATACGTTTCGATCGTATACATGCTCGTTAAAGGTAACGATTTTGTTGCAGTGATTACATTTTGAAAGAGATTTCTCACGTTGGAAAGCGAGTTGAATTACCTTTGTTTACAAAGCAAAATCAATTACGTCAAGTATCAGGGCAAAGTTCGCCTCGTACGATCACGAAGGATTCATAGGACGATGAGAATAAAGGGAAGCCGTCGTTTATATCGAGTAACTCGTTGCATTTTGAAACACCTCGACTTTCGCGAACCCCGGCGCGGCAAAAGCAGCGCAGGAGCGAAGCAATTAAAGGAAAAGCTGCGAGAGCATCGGATCAGCGTAACAATACATTATGGAAGTCGAAGCGAGCGGAAGTGGTGGATACTAAAATCCGCGCGGAGACAAAGGGTCACTCCTATATCCGGAGGATTTCTCAATTACCGAAATGGAATGTGTGACGAGGAGCGAGAGTACAGCGGCGCAGACAGCCGACAGTGACAAGCGGCCCGACGGGACTTTAAGCTAAGAGAATGTCACGAGAATTTAGCGAAACGGTTAGAGAGGCTATCTTTTTGTCTTGTAGAATATCTTTCCTTGCTGCGACAGACTTCTATCGAACAAATCTTTACTACAAAATTAAGCTAGTCTAGCTCGTGCATATCGAAAACACATCTACACAAGTAGTATCACAATGAGGAATACACGAGAATGATAAGGAAATATATAAGAAACAGAACATGAAGCCTCAACGAAACACTTCTTTCCATTAACTCGTCTATATGGCCGAGTCTTATACAATATCAGGGAATCTCTTAGGAAGGAATTAGACGGGTCCTGGTGTAGACATCGAGGGCTTACCATAAAGCATCTGATAGGAGCGACCACCTGTCTCGTATTTCAATTTCTTCCTACCTTCTCGCCACATTGTCCGCCACAAATATCACGAAAATCTTGCGTTTTCGATATTATACTATCTTATCTCTTCAGAATACGTATACGAGATGTCTTTGAACTGATGATGTTGGAAATGAAAATTCCTCTCGAGAAAAATTAAAATAGCAAGTGTGTAAAATAATATTTGTTTACCTATGAATCTTAGACAAGCTTTCAGGATTGGAGCTTTTTAATAAAGTAACTGATGGAGGATCTTACTTTCTAAAGATTTTTTGCTGAAGTAGTCACTGAATTCGATTCTCCGATTCTAAAATTCACATTTAAAAAAATAATCTAATTATTACATGAAACTCGATTTTAAGAGATTCTTGATATCTCTGAATTTGAATGTAGTCTGAAAATATCGAATTTTCAAAAGATAGTAACCACCAGGCAGATCTAAAATTCATAATCAGAGTTTAAAAGTCAGCTGGGAAATCGGTACTCTATGTGTATTTACGAAGCACTGATGAGCTTCAAATACAACAAAACTAGAAACTTAATGATATTAAAAACTTTCTATAAGGAAGAGTTTCATGATAATCAATTTTTTTAAACTTATGTCATCATATTAAATCTGCTATTTTAAATGTTTTATTTTTCCTCAAATTCGATTAAAACATTAGCAAATTTCCGCATAAGCCAAGTTTCATAAAAATTAAACAAATAATTTATAAAGTAACAGCAAGTGATCCCAAACTAAGTC